GGCATTCCTATCCGCACGGAAAGGGGGTCCTCAAGGCCACCTTCCTCCAAAAGATGTGCCAAGCTCGTGGCTGGCATGGGACTGGGACGGCAGCCCTTGGCACTGGCTGTGCCCGTGTCCTTCCAGGCCCACCCCAACACCCAACGCAGCGACACTGAGGACCTCGGGGCAGGGGAGAAAACAAAACTGAGCGTATGAGGTGAATGGCAAATAAAAGAAGAGGCCTTTTACCTTCAACAGGGGACAAAGGGACATGAAATGCTGAAAGGAAAAACAAAAATGAGATGTCAAATCAATCCTGCATTTCAACAGCAAAGGAGGCCGAGAGGGAGCGTGTGAGCTAATGCCATGAGAACTCAAAGCAGAACGGGGGCAAAAGGAAGGTGCACACACACGTGCACACACACATGTGCACACACACACATGCACACACACACACACACACATGTGCGCGCGCACACACACGCACAAACGACGGTTACGCAGGAGGAATTTGGGGACAGAGCCCACGGGGAGTCCCACGGGTGCCCAAGGCCCCCCAGCTGCCCCGCGCGCGCCGAGGGCTGCAGATCTGCAGGCAGCGGAGCAGGTCCCGGCAGGTCCCAACACTCACTGCTCTGGGAGGAGATTTTGGGCTTCCCGATGTACTTGAGGATGGGGTTGCGCTTCTTGTCTTCCATGGCATCCTTGTCCTTCTTGGTGCTACTGCTCTGCTGGGACACGCGGGGAGCACCGACAAAGCCACGTGTTACCACGGGGGCTCTGAGGGCCACCCCAGCTCCCCATTCCGGAGAGCAGGGAGTCTCGGAGCAGCGAAGGGAGCCAGGGCAGAGGAAGAGCAGCCCGTAAGCCACGAACCTTCTTGGTTTTGGGGAAGAAGGGCAGCCACTTGTCCTTGTCCGGGAGGGCCTGGGCCTTCTCGCCGGCGCCGGCCCCGCGGGGCTCCCGGCTGCGGATGCCTGTGTGGTTCATATAGGTGCTGAGGGCAAAGGCCATGGGGGAGCTGCAAGAGAGCAGAGCGGGAGGCCGCGGCGCGCGGCCCCGGCGC